ACCTTATACGTATTTCTTAACAATTTTGGTAAACTATGATGAAATTAAGTGAAGCCATAAACTCCTGTCATTTCAGCTTACGAAAGGAGAAGTTCTTGCAATAGTGATGTCATCAGGAGGTAAGAATAAAGGAATAAGTAAATTTTGGATCAATTTTATCTCAAACTAATGTAGTTTTGTACGGAGGTCGGAGAAGTAAGTCCATATTTTTTACATATGCATTATGCATGAATATAAACCCATGTTTCAATTGTAATCCGGGACAGTGCCTGTTTGGTTCTAATGACCAATTCGAATCGTGACAAATGAACAATTTGTTTTAAAAATATCCAATATTTGAAACTAATTCCACCGCAGTGACAGCATCAGTTTAGAAATAGATCTTGCAGACGATGTTGGAGAGAATCCAACCTACCGCCGGTAAATCAGTTTAGATCATAAAAATACACTTTAACAATTCAGCAGAACTTTTGTGACGAACACTATTACCAGTTGAATTTAAGAAGCGCAGATTATTTAAGTTGTGTTTATTATTCAGTTTAAATGTATTTATTTATAAACAAATATGAGTAGTTTGTATGCAGGGAAAATTGTAAACTTTTAAATTTATATACTTCTTTCTTCCTTACGTAATAATAATAATGGCAGATATCATTTCTGTTACATTCATTTTGACATTTATAAACGATTCATATAAAAGGGACGAAATTTGAGATCATAGCCAACTCAATAAATCGGTAACTTACAAATTGCATGAACATCGAATCTGGATATTATCGATATAGGGATCAAAAATATATAAATGCAAAATGTTAACATTTATATACAGGGTGGGCCAAAAGTCAGTGTGCAAACGTTGGCCTTAATAGCTCAGTCACTGAGTGCCCAATTGAAATACTTCCTTCTGGTATGACTTAGTACCACCACTGGTTCGAGGAATTTGTCAACTCGAAAAATATTCGCGTTCATTATATTTATATATTATATTATCATTATATAACTTTATTCAAATCAAAAATAGAAAATGAACATCTTAAAGATCTGATAAGTAGCCAGAAAAAAATAAATACTGATACACAAGCTATAAGAATTTCTTCCATCCCGCTCTATCAGAGGCTAAAAGTCTTAAATTGTACAAATCGTCTGTATTTACAAATGGAATGTTCCTACTACCTAAATCAAATTTAATAATTATATATAATTATTAACATTTGCTAACTAGTCACTGCCCAGGGGTAACGATGCAGCGTGCCGGTGGTTACTCAGTAACAACGCAGATATTGCTGTAGCGGACGCGTACGGACGAACCGCGCTCGATTCTGCCAGAAGATACAAGAATCATAACTGTGTTAAAATCATCTTGAACTATCAAGTTTCGTGAGTGGAATCTGTACTGATCTTATGGTTTAATCTTTGCTATAAGTTATAACTTGTTATGATAAATCAACATTATTTATGATTTTAGTACAATTCCTTCATAAGCAAAGTCTAATCGTACCATTAATCAAATTAATCAAGTTCACGTCTAAATCGAAGCTAAAAGTTTTTATAACTAGTCAGTTACAATCATAACATATTGTTCCAACAGATTTAAAATGTTAGCTCTTCTTTCTGTCAATGTCCTGTCTGAAGCTAAAATGTTGTTATTTCTCAGTAAGAAGACATTGCGGAAGCAGCGAAGCAGCTCATCTCTCAACAATATCAACACATTGTCAAACATAAGCTTTGCTGGAACAGCGGTAAACTATAACTTTTAAATTTGTTTTCTATTGGCATTGCTTTTCTGAAGCATATTAAGTCAAATAAAGAATTAGTTGGCACATAGATTTGAATACCGATGATATGAGGTCCATGATACAGATAGGATTGCTTTTATTTTCACTTGTTGCTTTGAAGATTGTTCAGTTAGTTCGTAAAGGAAGATGGTGTCCCGTGATGGTAAAGTTTTACGGTAAAAGTGAATTTCATTAATCTAAAAAATACATTTTACTTCGTGGGAGGTAAAACATGTAATATGAAGATATGAAATTGTACACTATGCAAATTTCGGTCATATGGTACATCTGCATTCTGAATTAATGCTAGTTTTCAATAACTATGTACATCGTAGTTTTTAATTAATTAATTTAATTTAAATCTTTAATATATTTCAGTTGCACTTGAACGATTTTCGCCAAGACCTCCGACGTGGAAGCTATCAAGGTCAAACTCCAAGAAAACCAGATCAGGTACAGGTCAAGTCTGGCGAGGATGTTCTTTTTGGTTACGTTACCATGACCACATATAAGCAACCGAAATCAGTCCCCTAGCAACAATAAAACTTACATCTTCTGACACAGTTAGACTGCCCGAAAATATAAAATTGAAACTTCAACCGTGCAGATTGTTTGCAAAAAAATGATTTTCTATCGATTAAAACATTATATGAAAACATTTTCAACAGTTCCATCTCCAGAACGTGAGAAGACCAAGCTATCAGTACGGTACATCGTGGAGGGACTGTCAGCTCCACGAGACAGTATATGAGGAGATAACTGAGGGTCAGAAAACTTAACTAATTGTTTTTACTATTTTATTTTTATCGATAAACTTTCAAAATGTTACTCAAATGCATCATTTTGTTTCAAAGAAAATTCGCCGAATGGCCTTTTACATGCCTTGACAAGTGACCGAGTGTAAACAAAATTAGGGACACCAAAACACCAGTTGACCAGTAAACTGGTCATAGCAATTACTTCGAGCCCTAATTTATTTTAGTTATTTTATTTATTTATCAATTTTGCTCATGGTAGCGCGGTTGTTGACTTCTGACAAATCAGTTTTTTGGGTTTTATCAATTTTTTACAGTAATGCATTTCAGAATCTATAGAAGAGCTCGACAGTATCTTCGATAATATTGATTCTAATTGTGGTACGTGAAGATTGATTTTGGTGTAATTTATTTATTATTATTATGTAAATAAAATGATTCATCGTACATGTAACACGCCCATAACGTGCCTTGTACTTTTAAATAATTGTTGCTTAAGCTTCTTAAATTGCTGTCACTTGAAGACTCTTATAATTAATTAATTTCAAAATAGTATTTATGCACAATCGTGCAAAACCGGAATCCTTTAAAAAATATTTGCATGCCTATGAAGCATTTATTGTTGGATTGGATGTAGCTAATTACCGAGAATTAAAAACCTTATACGTATTTCTTAACAATTTTGGTAAACTATGATGAAATTAAGTGAAGCCATAAACTCCTGTCATTTCAGCTTACGAAAGGAGAAGTTCTTGCAATAGTGATGTCATCAGGAGGTAAGAATAAAGGAATAAGTAAATTTTGGATCAATTTTATCTCAAACTAATGTAGTTTTGTACGGAGGTCGGAGAAGTAAGTCCATATTTTTTACATATGCATTATGCATGAATATAAACCCATGTTTCAATTGTAATCCGGGACAGTGCCTGTTTGGTTCTAATGACCAATTCGAATCGTGACAAATGAACAATTTGTTTTAAAAATATCCAATATTTGAAACTAATTCCACCGCAGTGACAGCATCAGTTTAGAAATAGATCTTGCAGACGATGTTGGAGAGAATCCAACCTACCGCCGGTAAATCAGTTTAGATCATAAAAATACACTTTAACAATTCAGCAGAACTTTTGTGACGAACACTATTACCAGTTGAATTTAAGAAGCGCAGATTATTTAAGTTGTGTTTATTATTCAGTTTAAATGTATTTATTTATAAACAAATATGAGTAGTTTGTATGCAGGGAAAATTGTAAACTTTTAAATTTATATACTTCTTTCTTCCTTACGTAATAATAAAACAAGAAATTAATATTTTTTTGAAAGTTGTTATTTGTTGCAGGTGGACTAGTGTACCCTCCCCGAGACTCACTTTACAGCCTAAGTTACCAGTTCACAACGTGCTCAAAGTTATGAGGAGATACTTCAAACGAAAAAACTCCAGGTTTGTCGTCAGGGACAAAAGGATTTCGCGATAATTTTGGCCAAAAATCGCGATACCGCGAAATTTAACAGGCTATACATTAAATTATACATAAAATTTGTCGCAAATACATTCCGCGATTTCCTTTTGTCCCTGTTTGTCGTTAACTGTTACTCAGTCGGCGATCAATGATTTCTTCATAAACACATTGAAGATACTGTGGAGTGACAGGCTGAGCAACGCCCAGTAAGATATTTATTGGTATTTCTTGGACAATTTCTTGGATCATTTATAACAATTTGCCATGCCAACCTATATCCAAATTATTTAAAGGGTGACAACCATATCAGTACGCATTAGGCTTTTTTTCTTTAAATATCAAATTGAATTGTTTTACCCTAATTTTTATAGTAACAAATGGCATAAAATTTAATTTTTGGTTTACTGACTGAATTATTCCGCAGTAAGGGTGGTGAAAACGACACAGATCCCCAAACACTACATAAATGTTTAAGCTACAACAGCGTGAGGGGTTAAGGAATCAGTAAGTTGCTAAACAACCTGAAGGTTGCTAAGCAACTTGCTTTAACGCTGAACCCATTAACTTGAATGAACAGTTTATCATCGAATTTATCTTGTAAAGATCCTGGGAATACGATTTGACTGAATATGGTTGCCTACTACTAATTAGTACTACTAGCTATAGACATTGTCATGGCTCTAGCTGGGTGGGGCATCAAACTGAGACTCAAGATTTTGGGAGATTTTGGAAAAAAGAATTATATGGCATCTGTGTATCCTACTCGATTAAAAATACAAGATATTGGGTCTTTTTAGAAAAACTGCGGCAGCCGTGCATCGTCCTCGACAACAGGTTTAACCATTTTTATTCTCCGGAGACCTTCACCAGCTGCAAACGAAAAAAGACGTTCTATATCACTTTTGGAGGTCCGAGTGAAATATCAAATATGGGGCTTTTGGAGATGCTCTGTGACAGAGTTAACTCAGTTTTATTCTAGTTTTAGTTTGATAATTGATATTGCATTGCTGATACGCTGAAATAATTGTTGTCAAAATAAAAGATGTAGCTTTGTCCACGGCCTGTGATTTAAATGTTAAAATGAGTATTTATCAATGTTCAAAATGTTATTTAATGTAGAAAATCGCTTTTCAATTTTGATAGTCGTGACTTTTATCCAATCAAAGTATGTATTCCATTTCATCTGACTTCAAAACTATAACAAATATTTATCCATGTGACACTGCATAACAATAATGAACCTTTATTCAAAGAATTTATCTATAACTACCTATAATTACTACAAAAAAAGAAATGACCACCAATTAAACACTGAGTCTTCTAAACTTCTAATCAGCAGTAAATAATCGTACCATAAACACTGCTAAACTGCTTGCTAAACCTTAGTGTTATTCTCTACTATCTCTTATACGTTATCAAAGGCCATATCCGCTGGATTTGTTAGAAGTCTTACGTGAACCTGAATTAAACTGTATTAAAACTATTTTAGTAAGGCAAGTGCGTGAGCCTACACTCCTTATTCACTTTATGCTCTTCTTTATTACTATATTCTATTCTATAAAGTTTCTAGACCACCATTTTGCACTTTGAATCTCTAAGTTCTTCCCAGTGTGAATCAGTCTCTTCTTCAAGATCTTTTAGTTCATCACTCAGTCTGTCCACTATGATGTCTAGATTCTTTTTTACACGTTTCACCTGAAGATCAATAATTAATGTTGATATCGTATGGTGATATTCTTAGGACGGGCATAACATTAGTAAGTCTAATCTGATCCACTTAATAAACTATAAACTATTAAAAGTCCTCAAAATATCAGTTACTCCAAACGAAAAACAGCAGAAAAATAAAAAAGTTAAATTATAGATCGAATCATTCAGAATTTTTTTGAATGTAAAATTTAAAAATCTGCGTGATCCAATTTGTTTCTTTTACTTAAAATCATTTTGTAGATAAATACAACAATATACATACGTTTCCAGGGGTGAGCTGGGGTTTCATGTAGATAAATATCATATTTCTGAACATCAGTCCCTTTTCTTTTTCAGCATCAATGTGGTTGTGAACACACACGTAGCCAACCATCACCTGGGGATAACTAGAATTAACCAAAAAAAAAATAAAAATACCTCATTTCATTTCAACCGATTTAATTTTATTAGCACTAATGATATCAAAATTGCCTGTCTCAATTGTTTATTTTTTGAAACAAAAATAAGTGATCATAAACCATTTCAAAGTTCTCATCAGTATCTGAGACTAGTTCCCTTTATCCATTTATTTATTTATCCCCTATTTGATGTAGATCAATTACGTGGGTTCCCAAAGAAAGATAACAGAGACTCAAATAAATTACTTGGTTATCAAACAACTTAATAAAACAAAGTTTCCAAAACGAAACAAAGATTTATTAAATATATATTAAGTATATTTTTTAAATAATTAACCTGATGATCATCATCAAAAGTTATCCACCAATCTGGAATGGTTCTTGTAATCTGCAGTTTGGGAACCTCGATGTGCATCTAGGAAAAGTGGTGGTTAGATTGTTACTCAATCTGACAATCTCTCAATCTTAATAAGTTAATATCAAACATTTCAATGCGGGGAAGTCTACTCCTATTTTACAATCATTGCTCTCACCAAATTTTGTTAAAGTTGCTTCCTCAAATGCATTGACTTATAAATAGTTAAGCAGTTTCATGATTCAAAAGAAAAGTAATTTTATTCAACTCAGAATCTACTGGTTGCTGTTAAGATTTCATCATTTTAAACTATCAAAGCGTTCCAAAAAAGCATAAAAGTATGAACAAAGTCGCGGCGTTCACCCCTTGTATAAATTTCGTAAAATGCAGCTTTTAGTTTTAAACCCAGACAGCAAGCAATTATATGTTTTATAAATTGTTCGCATATTATGTAAGCAAGCCTGGGGAAAGGGGGTTCGGAAATGTTTACGCTATTTCTACAGAGTAACTTGATTTTTTAACGATCCCTAAACAGATTTGACGATCCTTTGAAATGTAACAAAACTTACGCTGACTTTGCATGAATCACATCCCTTCTTTTGTTCCACTTTCAATACAGCTGGCATCATACCCTCAACAGGCTGTCCGCCAACTCTAAAAGATATTATGTTCTGTTCCATTAGTTGCTCCCAGTTAAAATGTAACTATTATTAATATACTTAACAGTCAAGAATATGATATTGATTTTATCAAATCGGATGACATGAAGATCCAACATCTACGATAACTGTAACATACTGAAATACATAACCGCTCAACCAGATCTGTAAGTGTATAAATGTGGACTCTGGCGAGGAATATTTTTTGACATGTGACATGATTCTGTGGTTTAATTGAGTAATTGGTCGATAGTGTATCCTGATTGGTTAATATCTGTCACACACTCACAATGCTTGCAAGTGAAACTCTGCATCAGTGTCGTTCATGGAGCGGGGTACAGCGTTCCACACCACACAATCTTCTTCGTTATACATGAGGAAAGGAAGAGGAAGTCTTCTTACTTCGGCCCATCGTCCACTTATCTGAAGAGTTGTGTCTGGTAACATGTTTGTGAATAAGAAGTGTTTGTTACCTAATAAAAGTATTACTTAATAAAAGTTACTTAATGAAAGTTACTTATATTAATAAAAGTGTTACTTAATAAAAGTGATTTCAATTCTTTAATGACAGATGCTACCAATTTTTATATCTTTTAAGTGGTAAATTAAACACTTACGAAATCCCTGACTTGTTCACAAGAAGCCTTCTGAAAGACGTCGTTACTCAAACATTTCCTGACAGGCTCGCTGATCGTTCCACAGAAAAGTGAAGAAAAAAGGAACAGTGTGTAATAAAGAAACATTTTAATTGATGCTACTTCCTGATTGAGATAATACTTTGAGGAAAGTGTAAATCAATATAGCCTTTATTTTCTTAAAATTATCCGGCACATGGACGGTTAATAATTTTTGCAAATCAAAAATAAAATCACATTCATATTCATGCATTTAATCAATAAGCATAGAAAAAGTTTGTTAGGATGCAAAGAGTAACATTACGACCTCTGACTGTATACAAGTATAAAAGGTAGCACAAGCCTCGCTTAAGAATTCTAAATAAGCTTCCAAAAGGTAGGAAACAACTCATAGACACATTCTGGACTTATGATAACTGCACCTTTGCGGTTACCAAAATAAATATGTTTTAACAGCCCCCTCCAGTTCCAAGTACAACAAACATCGAATAGACAAGTTCCAGGCAGCTCAGAACTTTAAAGTGTCCTTAGGTTAATTACAAAGGTAGCTACTAGACAAAAGACAATAAAGCCCGCGAGTCATCCCTATCTTTGTACTACGGACAATGGAGCAAGACAATGCAGAGTTTTTCTGAAAGAGATGGCTGGTGGTGATTTGAAGGTGAGGGGTGAGGTGATGTAGATGGGTGTTCCTTGGGGTAGGCTACTGGAATGATTGAAGCCAAGGGAAACCTAAGCAAGTAAAAGTAGAAATAAGTATACTTGGGTTAATACGAGGTGTGCTAAACGGTGCACCAAACTGAATCTTTGTGTTTCAAACAAAGCAGTGAGACAATAGAAAATTCCACTCCTCTTTGAGTCACGTGACAATGGTTTTGAATCACGTGACAATAGTTTTGATGTAGCAGTGAACGGTAACTGGGAAGATAACGTCTACAATAACGTCTACACTCTATACATCACGCAAGGCCAGGCTTGCTGATGTTTTATTCTTTTATTGTAGCCAGTTTATATCCACTGTTTCATTGTATCCACTTATCCCCGCCCTAGTCGGAATGTGACGATGGTTGTGACATCTTTAGTGACATGTGGGTCTATTTGTTGTGTAACTATGGCAAGTGACCATGGTGACATAATAGGTGGAAAACTGGGAAGGAAACTTTAGATAATGGTACTGGTAGGTGGGCTATTGTTGCGAAATATTGGAAATATCTGTGAAGTTCAGGATATTTGGATAAGTTTACAATATTTGGATAAATTTGAATAAAACTTTGATCGGTGATTGTAAAAAGCTTTTGAGAAAAGCTTTCAAAAAGGCAATTATAACAGTTGACAATTGATATATTTATATAAAGATACTCATGATAGGTGGAGTTGCGAAATTTAGAATATTTGTAAAATTTATATTATTTGAATATTATCAGAAAAGGGAAAGGTTTCCACGGGACAGTAACAGTCGAAAATTGTCAAAAGCTCCATTGAGGTCGTCCTGACATTATATGCTTGTTAGGTGTCTACTACAGTTGCGAATATTTGGAATATTTGGAATATTTGGATATATTCCATTGAAACTGTGATTGAGACAGGAAAATGTTTTTAAAAGAACAATATAGCAGTTGGTAATTGTTGTCTGTTGGCGAGGGAATGGGTGACTTACAAAATATTATGTGGGTTGATAATGACATGATATTATAAAGCTAGCAGTGAGAAAGGGGTTTAGTTTTACTTTTGTATAATATGGAGAGACCAGAAAGGTCTACTCATGATCCCCCTCATTTCACTTACCATTCACCTCCATATAGTTATCTCCGACAACCACCTTCTTTAGTTGCTATACCCCAGAGGCAGGCAGAGCATCCTTTCGTGGGCTGTCTAGGTTCAGCCTCTCTTTTAAAAAAGAAAATAAATACCAGAGAGAATAGTTTGGGCAGATTTTGTCTGAAATCATGGTACTCAGCAGTATAAATGAACTATTGTCATGCATTTATAGTTCTATCAAAATTTTATAGAAATAGAAACTGCAGTGATTAGATTTATCAAAATGGATGAATGGTAACTATTCGTTACATATATTATTTAAAGAAGAACAGCCACAGAAAAGTTAGCAAAAATAAATAATCTGAATGATCACCCGAGTTAATATAACAATTTTTCAGCCGATTCTATTAGGTCTAAGTCTAAATCAGCCAAGTGAGGTGGTCACGCGGACATTAATAGCTTAATAGGGCCGTTCAGCTTTTTCTGTTTAGGTTACTGTATTTCTGTGCGGTGATCAATCAATCACTATAAATGATGAAATAGTTGATTCTCTGAGTCAAGTCTCAGTGGTTGTGAAGATTATCCGATCGAATCTTCTGTTTACAGCATTAGAAGAGTATTTCTAAACTCAGTAAAGTCGATTGTACCGTCTCCTGATTCGTCTACCTCATCTAACAAGTTAGTCACCTCTTCCTCTGTCATGTACACACCCGCCAGACACATCGCCTGTTGTAGAGGTAGGGTTTTAGTCATTTGCATAATCATTTACATAATCATGTAAATGATTATTTGCATAATCATCTTCATAAACATAAGTTTGGGCAGGTTTCGTAAAGCATGTAACAGATAAGTGTTGAATGATGATGATACACACCCGCCAGCCACATCGCCTGTAGTGTTTTAGGCTTATAATGTTAGTCATCTGTATAATTATCTCACAATTATGTGTATCTTAAATTTGATCCTTCGAACAACTGTTGAGCAATGAAACGCAAACATAATCTTAGCAAAATGAATATATTTCTTTTATCTTCAGCATTTAATCAGTCTCATAATCTGAGAATATCAATGGTTAGTATGAAAATGTCAAAAATTCTCATCAAAAATGTAGTAAAGTCTCAAAAAATTAATTAATTTAGAATCTCGTCAAAATGGAATAGTTTAAAATCGGAACAAAATTAATGGCATATACTATTATAATGTGGAGTCTGCAACGATTCAAAAATAAAATTCGGGACACCATGAAAAATTAGCTTCCAGAAACGGAATTCACATTGTTTAGGCCAAACGGATAAAGTGTCTTCAATTTGTTAATATAAAACTGTTCTGACTTTCTAATATTATCTGGGGATGTAGAACACAAAATATCAAAATGGAAACTTTCATTGAAATCAGATCTCTCCCTCAAATTATGAACTGAAAAAAGATGTGCCCCTAAAACATTCTCGTCATCAAAATCTCTGTGGCTCTCAACATTCCCCTTACTACTCGCCTCTAAAATCTCATAATATTTACTGCGATGACCAATGACCATTCACACGTTGGCTGAGGCTGGTGACTGTTTTTCCCACGTATACGTTATTAACAGTACAAAGTTTGCACGTCGCGCCGTACACAATGTTGCGTGTCTTACAGTTACCACCTTGAGTTCTGACTGAGTGTCCATTATTGGAGACCATGGAATTGCCACTAACAAGGTGACAAGTTTGGCAGGGTCTGCCTTTCTTCTTCTCACCAGGTTTGGTGCATGGGTCAGTTGTTCTTGACTCTGAACCTAAGGCAAGCTTCTTTCTCTTGAATAAAGTGTCCTTTAAGTTAGGGGCTCGCCTGGTGACCACTGGGAGTTTAGGGATCCTCTCAGGGTTCTCACTGCTCCATGTACGGCTATTTGAGATGATGCTACTGGCCTCTTTAGCCTTTTCCTTGGTGTACATGAATATTTGCATAATCATCCTCTTAAACTTAATATTCATAACTTTGAAAGTCCGGTCAGACATACTGCTTGCAGAGATATACTGAAATACTGATATCTTGATATAGACTCGATGTCTTTGTACGGCAGTGTTAAACAATAAACAAGGAACTGAAACCGAGGGGTTCCGTTCAGGCCCTTCACGCTTTGTTTCTGTCAAGTTCTAATGTACCGTCACAATAGTTACTTTAATATTGTCCTAAGGCTGAGTCACAACAGATCTGCATATCATTTCTTTGCAGGTCGTAAGTTTATGCAGATTTCGTAAAGCATAATACAGATAAGTGAGCTGACTTCCTGGTTCATTAGTTAAAAGTTGGTTCTGGTTTTTTACAGGCTTGGGAGTTGTTGAGCTAAACGATAATATCTGCATAAACGTATAACTTTGGAGATCATGCGTTTCTGGAGATTTCGAGAGGCCGTTAGAGATATAAAGTTAAGTCAGGAGGTCATTGACATCCTGATTTAATTCCATTTATTGCTATGATTTAACGTTATTAGTAATATATCATGATCGACACAGACCCACTCAAGAGAGCGAAAAAACGGAAAATTTTCCTTTTCTTATTGTAATTTACCGTCAGCCATACGTAAACTTCACATTAATATAAAACGAATAGGTTCAACAAAGATATTAATCTGTATCGAAATAACATGGGAGTCAATACCTTTCCATTAATATAAAAACATAGCAATATCATTGATAGTATGCAAGAATTAACAAATGTAAGTAACTGACATCAAGCTTGTTGATAATGTGTAAGTAACTCATCAAAATCTACGTTATTGATAACATTTAAATATCTTAAACTCAATTTATTAATAATATTTAATTAATTAAAGTACCACTAACATTAGCAAGGTCTTTAGCGGTAATGAGTTCATCTCCTTCTTCGTCACCCTCCTCGTTCTCAACAACGCAGCTGCATAGCTGGGTAAAGGATTCGCTCAGTTCTGTGGACGAGTACCTGTGTAAATAAATGGGTTAGGTCGGCTTAGCTTTACACTTTAAAACATCACTCAAACTCTTTGCCTTAGCTCCCAGTTTAGTTTAAAATAAATCGACTTTAAACCGCAAGCACACCCTTTTTTTGGACGGCATATACAACTTACAAGTGCTTCAAAAGCAGTTTCAATTAAACATCTAGAAGATTGTATAAAGATGATGTTATATTTCATTCACTAACACTTCACGCAGGTAGTTTTCGATGGTACCCAACATTTCGGCGCAGTCGATAGTTCCACTCCCATCTAAATCCAACTCGTTATACATTATCTGAAAACTTAATAGATAACTACAGATTTTGGGTGCTGCAAAATAAAGATATCTCTGAAATTTAGGTTGAGAAAACGGCTGTAATTCAACTCTAAAGTATTGTTTAAAGCTGTGTTCATTGATACCTTTAAATCGTCTGTTGTGGCAACTATCTTCAACTGATCTATCAGCAATTTCATCTCGTCTACATCCAGCTCCCCATTTCCATCAGAGTCAAACTTTACGAATAATCCTTTTAAATCTCGGAGCTGAAATATACAGGCGCTTTTATTTTGGAGCTGAGCGCGAGGAGCTGAATCATGCAGGTAGTTTATGCTCAGAGTTAAAGTGAAAGAGACTTGAAGTGAAAGTGATACCACGTGACTATGAGATCTGGTTGATCTCTGATCATGTGGTATCGGGGTAATGAGATTATGTATCTCTAGTCATAGATTCCTATAGCTTAGAATTCTGTTTGAATCCTAGACTACTGGATGGAATCATGATATAACGACGATTAAAGAGTAATGAGTAAGATTGTATAATACTCTCTGGACGCGAAATCCCGTGGATTCGTGGTTACAACAATATGCAGACAAATTTAACTGGTTATTGGTACTTCATGATAATATGGTAGTGGTAGTTCAGCTACAAGCTGCAAGCAAGCGGTAGATTCGCAGCGTTCTGCAGAAAATCATTAATTAAGGTAAATTGATATTTTTGGGACAAAATTATCATTAATCAAGGTAAAGCTAGTTGTTGGAAAAACAAATTACTGTATAGCTGTGCAAAGTTTTTTTTATACCCAACGCTTTGACTAAAAGCTGGTATAAGTTAAAAAACCTGGTCGATCTTTGATCCTGCAGAACATCACTATTCTCAATTACTAAATTGCTTTTAAGAATTTCCCATCAAACATTTTTGTCATTTAAAGAGTTTTTGGGCAATTATAACCATTTATACAGGTGCCTTTATGCTTTACATAATTACATAATTAACGTCTCGAATTGTTCCCTGCTTAATTGGAGTCAAAGTAAATCCCTAACTGTATGACTGTTCTAAAGCCATTTGCGGGGACGCTACGACAATAGTCCATTTTGTTGTTCAAGAGATTTTGAAATTACCGAATAGCTATTATAACGGGGTTGTCGCATTCTAAGTGGTTAGGGGTTAACTTCAAACATTAAAAAACTTAATCAACCATGGCTGGCATTTCCATTTGAATTGGTTAGAACTTCAAATAATATAGTTTCAAATATATACAGCATATACTCGATCTAGCATTGCGAGCATCTAATTTAAGTGCAGCCTCATTTCTAGAATCTGGGAGCTATTTATAGCCCAGGAGTCAAGTACCACTACCAGTACCACATGGTGAACAAGGGATTCCAACAGGTAACTGTATATCGAGACAGATTTCAGATATATCAATGCATTGGTTATTGTTCAAGAAGCTTAAGTTAAGGGAATGGAGTATATGGGGTCTGGTTAGATTATGGAAGCGGTTTATTGATGGTATCCTGGATAGATGGAGAGGTACAGAACGGCAGTTTAACAACTTCGTCAAGGAGCTGAACAGACTAGCTGCACCGTTCGGAATACAGTTTGCTGACGCTCAGATTGATACAACTGTGAACTATCTTGATGTCCAACTGTACCTAGATGAAGAAGGCCAAATCCAGTACTCACTCTATAGGAAGAAGACTGACGCTAGACAGTATTTGAACACTACTAGCTTCCACCCTCCCCAAGTATTTGATTCGGTTGCATTCAGCCAAATGCTTAGAGTCATCAAAAGGAACTCTCAGGAAGACACCAGCCTCAAAGACTTGGAAGATCTGAAGACCGACCTTTCTAGATGTGGGCACAACGCAGACAAATTGGACGAATTGGAGCTGCATTAGCAGTAGAAAGAGCCTTGAGAAATGCTACTAGTGCAGCACACAGAATAGCCCCTGAGAAGGAGAAGAGTACAAGTTCCTTGGTGTTCACGACAAAGTTCTTCAAAGAAGTGAAAAGTCTTAAATCCTTAGTACATGACATGAAAGAGGATATAGAGAGATTGATAGGTGATGTTCGAATTATCTTTGCCCTGAAGAAACATGAGGCAATTAATGACTATGTCATAAAGAATAGATCTCTTAGCCGAGGGTTTGCCCAACACCAATTTCGTGCAGCATCCTCTCAATCATGTGGTGGTAACAAATGTGGAACTTGTCCCCTATTATTCGAGAGTGGAAAGAAAGTAGGTAATGGTCAATGGAAAAGAAATTATCCTGGACATGAGGTTGAGCTGTAGAGACAAAAATGTAATATATGTTGCCCAGTGTAGTATTTGTACAGGAAGTAATTTAGGAGAGAGCACATATTTTAGTCAGACAACCACTGAAGTGAGACAACGTTTTAATGGGCACAGGAGCAAATTTAAATTTGATGCTGATAAGTCTTATACTAAATCAGCTTTATCGCAGCATTGTTTTAATGAAAACCTGGAATCCAGTATCCATGAGTCTTATGACTTTATGAATTTTAAAGTTGCGTTTGTCAAGAAATGTCCAGCAATAGAACTTGATAGAGAAGAGCATCGATTAATTTCTATATTCAGAACTAATATTTTGGGGGATTAATAGAATTAAAGTTATAAGATGATAAGTTTAGTTATTTGTGTTGTGTAATTTATTAGTCTTCCGTTATTCTTGTCAGTATTTATGTTTTTATTAATGATCGGTGTCCCGTTAAATTTTATGACAATAAAAGATTTTTTTCATGCATACGAAATTTTTGGGATTCTTGTTTTTAAGACTGTTTTGTTTTTACCTAAATATGAGCCTAACTTATTTATTCAGGAGGTTCTCTAAAGATGATTTTTATTTCGAAGATTTCAAGAGCCTAAACTGTGTATGATTCGCCTCTCAAAACAAATCTAAAGTTTTATGGTTATGACATGGTTATGACATGGTTATGACATGGTTATGACATGGTTATGACATGGTTATGACATGGTTATGACATGGTTATGACATGGTTATGACATGGTTATGACATGGTTATGACATGGTTATGACATGGTTATGACATGGTTATGACATGGTTATGACATGGTTATGACATGGTTATGACATGGTTATGACATGGTTATGACATGGTTATGACATGGTTATGACATGGTTATGACATGGTTATGCCGTCGGGATTCTAGTCTATGACCAGCTACAGAATAATTTACCAAATTGCTAGATAATTAATTAATTAACTAATTAACTAACCTCCTCGTCAGTGAGCGGACTAACTTCTAGCTCATTATCATCTACCATATTGCATTACACTACTCCTGCTATAAGTATCATTATTACTTTGTTAGTTTCATAGAAATTAGAAATTAGAAAGATCTTTATATTTTACAATTGAACACACGTGTCAGATCAAAATTGAAGTTTTAGTTAGTTTCATATTAAAAGGGGCGAGGGTGAGGGGTGAGGGGCGAGGGGTGATGGGTGAGGGGTGAGGGGTGAGGGGTGAGGGGTGAGGGGTGAGGGGTGAGGGGTGAGGGGTGAGGGGTGAGGGGTGAGGGGTGAGGGGTGAGGGGTGAGGGGTGAGGGGCGAGGGGTGAGGGGTGAGGGGTGAGGGGTGAGGGGTGAGGGGTGAGGGGTGAGGGGTGAGGGGTGAGGGGTGAGGGGTGAGGGGTGAGGGGTGAGGGGTGAGGGGTGAGGGGTGAGGGGTGAGGGGTGAGGGGTGAGGGGTGAGGGGTGAGGGGTGAGGGGTGAGGGGTGAGGGGTGAGGGGTGAGGGGTGAGGGGTGAGGGGTGAGGGGTGAGGGGTGAGGGGTGAGGGGTGAGGGGTGAGGGGTGAGGGGTGAGGGGTGAGGGGTGAGGGGTGAGGGGTGAGGGGTGAGGGGTGAGGGGTGAGGGGTGAGGGGTGAGGGGTGAGGGGTGAGGGGTGAGGGGTGAGGGGTGAGGGGTGAGGGGTGAGGGGTGAGGGGTGAGGGGTGAGGGGTGAGGGGTGAGGGGTGAGGGGTGAGGGGTGAGGGGTGAGGGGTGAGGGGTGAGGGGTGAGGGGTGAGGGGTGAGGGGTGAGGGGTGAGGGGTGAGGGGTGAGGGGTGAGGGGTGAGGGGTGAGGGGTGAGGGGTGAGGGGTGAGGGGTGAGGGGTGAGGGGTGAGGGGTGAGGGGTGAGGGGTGAGGGGTGAGGGGTGAGGGGTGAGGGGTGAGGGGTGAGGGGTGAGGGGTGAGGGGTGAGGGGTGAGGGGTGAGGGGTGAGGGGTGAGGGGTGAGGGGTGAGGGGTGAGGGGTGAGGGGTGAGGGGTGAGGGGTGAGGGGTGAGGGGTGACCGCAAATTCACAAACAGACAGTTAACTATATCCTCTCTTCCTCTGTAATAGTAAACCAATAAATACTATACAAGATACTATCCAAACAACAAAAGAAAACGCTAATAATTAAAATAGAAGGAAATAGATCACGACAGAACCAAGAGGATGATTTTATATAAAGACAAGACAAGACCATTAAGAGACCAATTCTGCGGCTTTTCCTTGTGTATTCAGAGTAGTCTTGCGGTAACGCACTAGATCTGAGTCTGCAACCAGTAATCGGAGATTTTGGATAGGATCAGATAATTGCTCATCGCTCAATGCTCTTATCATGAACTTTACAAGAACAATTGCAATTTCCTTGATATTAACTGGAATAAGCCACTTAAACGATGCAAGATTCCTGGAAATTCCTCGTTTATTTTTAGTACGTATCTTGCCATGTGTTTCATGATATTGAAGTATTTATGGTATTTGCGTTTTTGGTAAGCAAAACCCTGATGATCGGAACAAGTTTGGTATGGCTATAAAAAGAGCATTATTACAATTCTAAAGAAATGGAAAATTATATTTGAGACGTGTATTGGCCAATGCTGGAAGCTGATTGGATAACCCTTATCACATGCTAGGACTGTTGCAGTTTTGAACCTACCAACGCTGCTACGGTATCAGTCGAAATGAGTTAACAGAACCGGAATCGCGCAATTTGCCCAATATTTTTTGCATTTTTATCTGCAATTTTGCAATCAAAATCTAAAAATGTATCCCTCTGGCCTCTGGGATGGGTTGAAACATTTAAATCACAAAGTAGAGAACTTGGAAATCTAAATAAAACGTTGTTCCGGTATAAAAGTCGACAAGGATTTTATTGGAGATATTCGATAGGGAGCTTTATGACATTCGAAAGAATTACAGTTTAAACATAACTGATATGAACGAGTAGATAAAGAATCCCAGGAATCTATTTGCCTTCTAATAGCGTCTATTTATATTAGGGTCAATCGGAGAATATATCTAAACCTTACTCTTGTAGTTGTATCAATTGGCACAAATCCAGGAAAACAAGCAAGCAAGTAAATAATTTGTTTTTAAATATTAAGAATATTAAACCAAGAACTCAAAAAGGAGGAAAGTAAAAGATCCTTACTAACATCACATTCGTATCTACCAGATATTTCACCCTTTGACAGTTGATCAACCCCTGCCATTCTGCCATTCAAAGATAAACCGTTGGCAACGGTTAGGGTTTGGGTTAGTGTTAGAGCAATAGTTAAAGTCGAGGATGGAGCTGATATGGTGGGTAATTACGTGAGATTTGAGGCTCAGTTTAGCTGTTTAGGTGAAGGAAACGTTATACGCTGTCGCGCATTTCTCCCTATTTAAATAAACTGCAATATAAATGATTATAGCTAGGGGATTAATAGAGTTAAGGAGATAAATAGTGAAGTTACAGTCTTTATAATAATATTATACTTATAGCTGTGGAAGGGAAAGAAATACGAATAATTACCACTTGAAAGGTATGCCACGCATATCCTACTTTGCCTTAATGACAAGCCCGCTTTCTACATTGTAGAACGTTGACATGGGCTCTTTCAACAATTTCAACAAATTCAACAATTTCAACAATTTCGATAATTTCGACAATTTTAGCTGTTAGTGTAGTAGAGGGGAAGGAAACGTAGAGGGGAAGGAAACGTTATTAGATATGAATTTATCTAGTTTCTTTCCAGGAGATACACTACTACTATTACTCGTACACTACTTCGTACTTTATTTGATTTGAAACGTTCACCAAATAATACAGAATTATACAACATATGACAGGGGAACTTGAATCAAATGGCGACAAAGAATGTTTAGGAATTTAAGCTGGGTAAATGCTCGGGCTGGCTAGGCTAGGTACTGCTACGTAAGTAATAATCAGTTGTCACAGTTCACAATTGGGAGGAGTAAATGCTGATACCTAGCTACTACCGGGAACGTTATAACGAATTTGAGCATGATATTTTGCTACTGAGGTTATACTGGGGGATGGGTGTGCCGAACAGTAAATACATCAGCTTCAATTCCAACATGATTCCAACAATTTCAACTGGAGTTCAATTTCAACCGAGAGTTTAAGGGTAGGAAAGGTCGACAACATAATAGTTTGTTCAATTATTATTAATCAATATCTGACACTATAAGTTTTAAGTTTTCGAAATTTATGAAAAAGAAATATAGGGGATATAATTGTTAAACTTTTGGATTTAGGCTATTAAAAGGAACAAGTGACAAGCACTCTGTTATCTTAATAACTTATTTGTAAAATGGGCGTCGTTGAGGCAACAGGCAACGTTACGCCATTGACTAAATCAGACTATCGTATAGCAATCAAGTTCTACGAGAATGGAGTACAGAATCCAGTACCAGTAACTAGTAATACTAATTGTAATTGGTAATCAGCCGACGTAATTTATTATTTAGTTAACGGCGAATTTCAGTGGTCTGTGCAACGTAATAGCATCCATGGTAACAAGATAGCTTCCACAATTGAGCGGTATATCATGAGTATGACATCAATTTCGGCTGATTTGAATATTTTTTCAAATCTCCATAATTAACTAATTAGTATGTATTCCAGCTGAATATAACAGACCCACTATAAACGAGACCAGCAAGTACTTAAACCACGATCACAATTGCACTGATACCTCAATATTAGATACTGAAATATTGAATAACAAGACTTTACCAGCTTAGAACACAAAAGGTACAGCTACGAAGTGGATCTGATTTTAATCAACAGTTTTTTCAAATCCTCTGTTTAATACTTGTGTAAACTTGCTAGTAAAGATTTAACAGCTAGTTACTAATCCGCAACCACCGCACTCGCATCTCAATGGCTCAATATTTAGAACTGGGGGATGTCAGCCTTTTTAGCTCCGAGATAAATTCTCGATAGTTTTGTAGCAACTCCTCGTAGCTACCAAGTACCAAGTATAGATTACAAAGGTGTATCAACTATCAGTTTAATAGAACACGTCGTATGACGTATAATATAAACTACAATCAACGAGACATTCCAAGTCCACAAACATTGCAGTTCATGTTTACTACTGAGTAAACAAATCTGTTTTACAATTTAGACAAATCATATACGAGTGCAGCTGTGATTAGATAGTATTTCATTATGTGTACTATAAGTATAATTATACCGGTCTTAGTACCAGTCACTCAGTCAGTTGATAAGGATGCTAATGGCAGGGCAGTATGAAGTGGAATTGAAATTGGAAATATAGGCATAGCCGCTCAATTCGAAGAGATATCTAAACAAAATTATCATGATCCTTCGTCGACGGTAAATAATTGGGAAATACCTGGCAGTACCGCTGCGATCGCTTCAACTTTAAGAAAATTCTGGGGAGAATCTAGAAATAGCTATATCCTGTAAACAATTTTCATGTTATGACACACATAACGCCGACACGTACAGGGATTATACTTCAATAACTCAATAATTATCCCGCAGCGCGCGGGATCGTTACAATCCAGAGTGCGTGGCACGACCAGGGGTTATTATTTGAATATAACTTTAAGTTTAAGCGTGATGCGTTTTGTGTACTTATAAAATCTTGTGGGATGCTGCTAGGATTATCATTAATTAATTTTTTTTAACCGGGTAAGTGTAACCGTGAAAACAAGTTTTGCAGTGTGGAACTGGTCCGAGAGATTCAATAATAAGAAGCTTGCTGGAACTTTGCCAATAATAAGAAGCTTGCTGGAACTTTGCCAGCGAATGGAACTCTGGTACGTGCCAAGCAGATTTATAGTTCCTGAGTCAAATTACATGATACTGTGAAACGCGTCATCAGAACACTTAACATATTAGTATAATTAGACCAGCGCCCGGCCGATAGTTTATCGTGGGAAAATTAAGACTAGACTGAGTCAGAGACGAAAAATCACTCAACAAACCGAACGGGGTCAAGTGAATGAGCAGGAATTATTGAGCATGGATCATTTATCAAGCGGAAACAAACAGGATTAAAATA